GTTTGCACCGGTTGTGGTAGTTTCGAGAGAAATAGTTCTCGGAAGAAACCATCGTCAAATGTTCGTGCACCGATTACTTCTCGCATGCGTGCGAGGACTTCAGTAGCTGAGTGGCTGCCTAGCTCGATGTTACGAAGCAATTCGTCTAGACGTTGGCGATCTGTGAGATCGCTTTTCTTCAAGAGTGCGGCCTTTAGAAGTGCATAAGGGTCACTTACTTCAGGATTAAACATGTTTGCTGTAACATACCTGTTTAATTCTCGCGGTAGTGAACGTATGACAGCAAGAAATCGAGAATGAGGATCTGAGACACCCTGTTCTCGAAAATCGGCCTCGGCATACAGAAACCATGTTTCTGCATTGTCTGGCCAATATGGCACGAGTTGGATCGTGTTCGAGGTCGGCTTAATACGAATAAGCTTGGGAGTGTGGTCGGACATGAGAAAGTGTAGTAAATGGATATATAAATGTTATCGAAATGAAAACAATAAACAAATATAAAATGGAACAGGCTCACCAATTCAATACTTGTTATTGGTCGGGATATGTGATCACGGGATATTTGATCACGTCGGGCTCACCAATTTAGGATTTGTCCTGGTGCGAACTTGACAGACGCAAAGACCAATCACTAATTATTCGAACTTGTTATATACCCACGAATACGAGACCAAGGAAGAACACGATAGCGTAGTCGGATGGAATAGTATATTTGGATGGTTATGCCAAAATACCGATGCGTTCCAACTAACTGGCTAGAGAGTCGAATACGAGCAATGCAACGTAACACGACAGCGTGCCAAATGGCGAGGATGCTTGACCGGGTGCCTTCAGCTTAGCGAGTCCAGTTAAACTATCAAGGTCAGCATCAATGTCGAAGTCGTCAAACCCTAGGCTATTGATTTTGGGGAAGTGTGTGACGCTACAGGGGGCTACCTGTTACGTGCTGACAAGATGTCTCACGGTTTGGACTGCCTAGTTATGCGGATTAGGGGGATATCATTATAGTTTATTTGTTATCATTGTTTCCATTTACTCAAGGAGTAACGTTTTGCGGTACCTTTCTGAAATTGTCTAACTGCAGAATCTAAAGGTGCTAAGATGAATCTTGACGCCTTTCTTTACGATTCTTTGCGCAGAAATGACATTTACTGACTACTGAAAGGCGTATTCGGTGCGTTCTTTACTAGTAGGTGCACCAAACAATTCTAGTCACTGTGATGAGGGCTTAGCAGCAGTCATTCCATCTGGGGTTTCAAGAATGAGGATAGCACGTTAATGGACAGTAGTGATCTCCTAACCCGTTATTCTCTTGGTTTTCAAGTCTGATTTGAAAGTATCGACAAGAAGCGCGGAAAGCGCATTGTTTAAGAGATAACCAATCGGTTTCATGAGTGGGCAGTTGGAAATTATTCGATCAGTGCAGGCGTTTGTCCGCTTATTAGTGGGTAGGCCGTTGGGCATCTTGTTTCCGACTTGGTGAACTCATGTAATATGTTAGTTGTTTATTTGAAACGGTGACTTCCTTCTTGCTTAATAAGTGTCAGTAACCGGGAATTGAACCACTTGAAGAATTGGCTCAGTATTCCCTGATGCCACTTTCGATTGGCATGCAGGAAGCCACGTGCAAAGTTTTCCTGACTTCTGCATGCTAGGCTAAACGCTTATATTTATTCTGGAAGGCTTCAAAATTTTGGATTTTACTCAGTTGGTCACAACCTTAGCTCACCAATGCACTCAAGTCCAGTTCAAACAGCTGTTCTTTTTACTGGGCATTATTTCGGCTAGATTCTTCTAACTCACGAGGCCTAGTTGGCTGATGAACTGTGAAAGTTAGTAGGATGAATTTTAGGATTGCCAGTGCTTACGAATCCACACGTCATCAGCTGAGTCCCCAGGTGTGTGGTAGCGTCCCACCTCAACAATGGGACTGTAAGCCATTTATCTATACGGTAAACTGCCACACCGTAAGCTTGTGCTACCAACGGATATGAACCTTTAAGTCCAGGTAAAATAAATGGTGTCATCCATAATAAAAGAGTGTCACTCAATGCTGGGTATTCCAGTAGGTTCTTCATGTACCACATGAACCAGGATTTGACGCCTGAAGTTTAAAAAGCTAGTCACTACGACGATCATCCTTGTTAGTAATCAAAGAAGGAGGGCGACGCATTTGTGACAATGGCTGCTTTTTCCATGTCATGAGGTTGCAGGTCTGTGGTGGCCCTTACCACCACCTGATGTGGATTAATCCTGCCATACATCGAAAGGTTGACCTTTGCAGTTTTCCACAGTGATAGCTAGGTGGACAAGCACTTCTGATTGACGGGCCGGGATATTCGTTGGTGGATTCCATTTTGAGGGGACGATTTAACTTCCTTGGACTTGTAATGTCTTTATAGAGCTATTCAGCTATTTAGATCCGTCCTACATCTTATAAACCCGAACATTTGCAGACTTGGTACATTCTTTTAGCCCACGATGTGTAGCCATGGGGAGAAAAATGCTTGACAGTCTCAGTTTGCCGGATGACTCATCTAACTTTGACGTGGTTCTGCTCACAGTGGGCTAACTTCCAACTCTGACGAAAATTATGCCTATCGACCATGGCCCAATTCTTGTCTCACGCACATATTTCAGGATACGGGGATATAGGTGCATTGCGTGGAGAGGAGCCTCAGGGCCTCGGTTTATCATGAGGCCAGCGTGATCGAAGGATTTTTTGTGCGAATTGAGCGCGTTCAAGCGTGGAAACAGGCAACAGACGAGCTGATTAGTAGTGTTTTTACCAGGTCCTCACCACCTTCATATGGACCAACGTTGAATTCAGAACAGTGGGTTCCGTCATCTTGATTTCGAAAGAATAGAAACCATTTAGGACCCAGTGAGACTTGGTATACTGAGCTAGTGAGGGGATTAGGATCTAGGGGACCCTAGGAATCCTTGGGCTGACTTAAACTGAGTCCTGGGAATAGTATTGAACACCCATTGTCATCGGTCAGCAGTTCTTCAGATGTCCATTCCTTTGGGCCACGATGTTTAATCCTAATGGCGTAGATCAATATTGCTGTGAACGGTAACGCTTGAAAAGATATTCACTTCGATTACATGATTATTTGGAACCTTACAGATTCCCGAGATCGTAAATGTGGATTCTTTTGGTCTTCAAGGCTATAGGCATGGGAATTTATGGCAAAACAGACGTTCATGTAGCGTAATGCTGCATTACGAAGACGAGTCGAACGTACCGACTGCTTGTATCGGAAACTTGGAGTTTTGCGCAACTATGGTGCCACCAGTGGTGAAAAGAAGGTATGACTGAGAACCATCCAGACTTTGACACTGCATATGCTGAAAAGTGGTATTTTCCTGTCCATTTCATAGCTTGCGGAACCTTCTGACATTTTTAGTAGAATTTAGTGGCCCTCCTCCTGTACCGTTCAGGTCCCATAAAATCTGGCACATTTTCCAACGCATATAAATGTGATGATGCCTGTTAACTGGCTTCCCCCATGCTTAGTTGCTAATGTGAGAATAAGATATTTGTTTGCTTACTTATAATAATAATAATAATAATAATAATAATAATAATTGCTTACTTATGGATGTTTATAAGGCAGTGGAAAGTGTACTGCTAGCCTCAGACCATTGAATTTGTCACGCGGCATCAGCGGGGTCTTTCAAATCAAAAATTCACTCCGAAGCTTTTATAGGAGATAACATATCCGATCCCTACTAATTCGGTCCCCCTCTCTCTTTCTCTCTAGCAACTCTCCACACCAACTCTGAACTGGGTGGCCAACCTAATGTTTCAAGAGATAAAGAGAGAGAGGAAGAGCTTTTGAGGGGTGTGAGGATGGTTTGACTGTCTCAGCCGCAAACCTTTCCTGATGTTCCGTCCTAGATAGTAGATTACCCTGCGATTAAACATGAGTCTCTTTTGCCCCAGTACATAGGCCAAAACGGACTGTTTGTCTCCCGCTGTAAACCAACCCCTATGGTCTCTTAAACTGGAAAGGTCTCGGAAGAGGTAGTAAGTGACTCATTTTGTGACTGTCTAGTCAGGAAGTCAGTCCCAACAGAGCTGGATAAGCAGTAACTGGTCATCTGCGTTCTATTAGGCTTTTCTTACCCCTGAAAACAGCCTAGCATCAAGAATGAATAGCGCATTCCGCTAAGACAGGCGTAGAACCTGGGGAACCATCCTGTTCTACCTCTGATACACACAGTTCGAGGCCTACGCTGTTGACTCGTGTAACTAGAAGCTAGATATCTGATTCTGGAAGATATAAAAGTTGGCTAAATGAAATCTATTCCTTCATTAACTATGGTAGGCGTGACTTCCCTCTCAACCGGTTAACTGAATTGGTCAGAAACATCATACTGCGGGCCATACGTCGGCGAAAATAGCAGAAAACATGAGGAATTTAAGTCTATAACCTTCACAGCATCAAAAGCACTGAGTAGAAAGCTTACAAAATAAGTGGCGGTATGTTTATCACCTTATGCAAATCTTTGGATGGGTCTAAGCTAGAAAACCTCACAGGTGACAGATCTTTGTCTAAAAAGTGGCTCAGACCTTCGGTGAGGCATTCAGAGGGTAGCCACACGTACTATCCTTGCGATGGCTGGCCTGATCTACGAAGATCGACTTCAGTGGCTGAACCTATCACATAGTGACAAGAGACCTAATCATGCTGCACGAGGTCCTCAGAAGTAGGTTTGGGCCTGATTTATCTCCCCTTTTCCTCCTCACCAGGTCATATCACCCTAGAAGACATAGAAGGGGAATACGAAAGCAAGAGAAAACAGTCTATGTACAGTACTAATTCTCGTGTCTGCTAATCAACTCTTGGAACCGACTCCAAGAAGTGTTGTCTGATTCATCAGCTAAGTGGTTCAAAAGATGACCGTACAAGCACAGAGACTTACAGGAAAGGGTTTAATATGGGTTAGTGGCCTTCTATCTTTAAACAGCAAATCTGAATCTGGGTTGCGTTAAGCGCGAGTCTGAAGAGTTTGCGTTACCTCTCAAGTGTCTCATGGACAATGTTTCGTCGAAGGTCATACACGATATTAGTGGTCAGAAGAAGCTTGTCAGCTTCAATCCAGTACAAGGAAGAATTACCACTCAAACAGTTCGGGATGAGGAGGAGTATATGGAGGTATGAGTTATAGATTCCTTTTATGTGTATCTACAATGATTTTGACTAAGAACGCTCTCATAATAACAAGAAATGAAATGCTCATAGTGATCAGTTATCTTTTGCAAAGGGCGTAGTGGCTTGTTGTTTTCTGTTTACTCGAACAGGTTGATTTTACTGTAGTGTCGCTTCAACTAAATAGTTTAACCATCCTTTGTAACTCTTTAGTGCGTTGTTGAAAAGATTATCTAGTTGCTGTTCAGTGATCCATTTCAATGATAAAAGTTGACTCTTAGGATTCATGACATATTCTTTGTTCAGAGGCTTCCTGACGGGACAGAATTTTTCGCTTAACTGGCTTCCGCTTCTAGAAACCGTGGATCACTCCTCCTTCTGGTTGTTAACCTGTTTACAAGTTAAGAGAGAGAGAGAGGAAACAGTAGCGGTCAAAATGCGACTATTCAACTGGTTCTAAGCAGACCCCATCTGCATTTCAAACAAGTGTCAAGGCGGCGTTTAAAGAATTCAGACGAAGTGGCATGTACACTTCTGAGACTGCTGTTGCAGTATTATACGGCTTATATTGATGTTCTTTGGCCCATAGTAGTTGTGTGCTTATCTGCGAAGTCAGATTTTCTTCCATCTCAAACAAACCATTTGCTGAAATCCTTTTCTTGTTGTTCGAGAACTCATTACCTCCGTTCCGTAGGACTATTTGTGAGTATCAAGGTATTTACAGTATCCTGGTATTGCAGTTGTGTAGCGAAAGTCGCTAGTACTTCGCTTTTCACTGCCGAAAATCCTGAAGGGTGTAGGTTACGCAAGAATTAGTAATTGAATATAATTCAGAGTAGAAAATGCCTTCACAACATACCTCGCTACGCTCAAATAGAATGAATTGGCTACTGGCAAACAAGCTTATTGTATCTGCGTGAAGATTCCGCCAATTCTTAGTCCGTAAGAACTACCACAAACATACGAATACATTGTCGAAGGGCCAGGAAGTAGCTCCACTCCATGAAGTCTTCGACTATTGGAAATATAAGCCTAAATGAGGTCAACTAGTCAACGGGAAATAAGGGTGGGAGGATTGTACGTGATATTGTTCAAAGTTGATGGCTGTTTTAACGATCCGTTGTTAATTGTTAAATTGAATTTCATTATTTTCTCTGATTATATATCTTTTGTTTCGAGACTTTCCATGAACTTTGCTTGCATTTTGATAACCTTCCCCATGACTATTGTTTGTATTCGTTTCTCGCACTGTACTGCCTTGTATCTTGACATGCTAATCTGGGTTGTGGCAACCTCAACTGTTATATAGTAATACCAGGTATGTTTATAGTGCCCACGCGTATGAATTTTAATATTAATGCGCTACCGGTGTTATCAAATTTCGATTTGTTGTCGTAATCACCACATAACTTCACATTATTCTTTCAGCACCTAGGGAAAATAATACAACGGGATTTTTTTCCCGATCTGTTGCCGGATGAAGTTAAAACAGTTGAGACTCATGACAGTGATGAACCTAAAGGTCGAAGTACACTCAATATTGATTCTCACAACCCTGAAAAAAGTAGACAACGAGTCGGAAAATAATTTGAAGACTTTAGGTGATCCAACTGCTATGCCATTGGACAAATACATGGCTAACAATACTACGGAAGATGATGCATCCTTCGCTGAGTTAATTGAGGAAAGTGAAAAGAAACAAAGAATCAAATTAACGCCCTTTTTCCCTTCTCTTCAGTGTGCTACACCCGTAAGTTCATTTGGAGTCTGTCAGTTTATTAAACAGGTCCCCTTAGATGGTCCAAAACCTTTGGCACTCCCGGGTGCAACGAATGTTGTTGGACCTAGAATTACAATTACAGGGAATAATGCCGTCCATTTTAACCCTGACGGTGTATCCCAAACCAAAGAAGAATTACTAGAATTTTTATCAAAGGAGCGTAAAATTGTGCCAGCTAATACCCGTTTCAAAAGACCTTTTTCTGTAAGCTTAGAAAAAAAGCGTACAGTCAAACATTTACTGGCAGCGAAACTGGTACGTTTATGCTTTTATTGCATCGTATTCTAAGTTTTGTATTCTATTAGTGGTTGTTCTTTCGAAGCAGTATGATGAAGCACTTTGATTCGGAAATCCTTTCGATATTAGTATTTTTGTTTTAAGGGATCAGTTTGAAGAAATTATTTTAACCCATAAGTGGCAACTACAAACTTTCTAAGACATTGAAAGTACGGCAGCTTGTGTGGCTACAAATCAAGTTTACACGACAACAGTATTGAGAACCTTTGGGAATAAACTATTGTCGAATGTCTTGATTCATAGGCATCCTTCACTTAAAATCCCAACCTTCCCAAAATAGTGAAATGTTTGATTCCATTGTTATCTTAAAGAGAATTATGTACTTTTAAGAACCATCTCGTAGTTGTGAATGGTAAACAACAGTGAGACATGGCAGTCAACTTCCTCAGTGATGAACCTATTACTATTTGGTCTGTCGCGTTAGTTTTTCTGAAAATATTGCATACTGTGCTTCGAGTGTTTTATGTTAATAAATTTTAATCAAACAAATATCATTATTAAATTTTGCGATCCTTAACTGATTTAGTTTCATGACAAGTTTTTGTGTGGTGCGACAAACTACTGATGTTCGCGCTCATCGTTTCTCATTAGTTCTGCTTTAGATATATTGATATTTGTTACTTCTCAATGCGATATTCTTGAGATGACTGTCGAGAAGTTATGGAGGTGGTGTTATTCGGAAATATTGCCTTATTGTAATATAACATATAGACTAATAGAATCACACTTAAGTGGTTAGTTGTTACCGCCTACAGGTGTAGTGTTTTATCAGCATCATCAAACTTTGGGATTGGAAGCGACCTATGGTTGTATGCCTGGTCAGAGATCGAGAACAGCATTCTGAAGAAAACTAAGCAAGTTTCAGATCCGGAAGAGAGCGTATAGATCAAATGTTCACTCTTCGTCAGGTTATAAGACGCAGGCATACTTACCAGAGGCCGATACTTGTCATATTGCCTGACCTGTAGGTGCCACTTAACTCTGTCCATTGTGAGGTGTTGTGACAGTGTCTCATTGTAAAAGGGGCTAATGAAAGTTCTATACTCGAACTCATCAGCCGTGTAAGGACTTGTGTAAGGCTTTCATCAGAGTTGATGACAACTAGTGGTGTCCAGCAGGGATGCAGGCTTTCACTGTTCCTATTTAATTTAGTTATAGGTAAGTTAATGGTTGTAACCCCCCTAGGTACTTCAGACTTCGCAGGGGTTGATCTACTCCTTTAAGAGCATCTGGTTAGCTCGGAGTGTGCAGACGATATTATCTTGCTATGTGAAGACGCTGACAAAATCCAGGGTCTTCTGAGGGCGTTGAGCAGAAATTGAGTATGTTACGGGTGCGTTTCGCACCTGTCAAGTGTAAGATGATGCTTCACAACTGGTCTACAACTTCTCCCAGTTTAATGATAGGAAGCGAAGTGGTAGGATGTGTCGACTACTCCACATATTTGGGAAGTTTTATCAGCTCAAGGGGGTTGGATGCTGAGGAAATCTCAGTTCAGATACACAAAGACTGGTTGGCACTTGGCGATTCCCGTCATCTGTGGCGCCGATGAGATATCCAACTACGTATTAAAGGACGAGTATACTGCATTGGTGTCCGTTCTGTCGTGTTATATGGTTGTGAGATATGGCTGTTGAAAGGTGTGAAGAAACCACGTAGGTGTCTTTGTAATATTTCTTGCGTTTATTCCAATCATCGCGTAACGTCGAGGTTAGGTGACGAGTACTAGGAAAGATAAGTAAGTTGGTCGATGAGGTTGTGGTTTTTCAGCGACCGAGGTAAAGCATGCAGGACCACTGCCTACCTCGATGTGTGGTTTTAGAAGTTGGATTATGTCGGAAGGTGTACTTTACTGGGTTGCCTTTCTAATCATTTTATCCTTACTGTGTTTTATTCTTATCCACTTCTCTTCGCTTTGTCTTCGTAATACTATTATATTATTTTGTGTAGCGCATTTCTTGGTGCCCTTGCTTTACCACGTTTGTGTTCTAATAAATAAATAAATAATTTGAGGATAACGTGAAACTAAATAGGATAAAGACCAAAATAGAAAAGAAGTTTAATCTGCATGTAATAACAGCAGAAAATTATGGATTTGACAAATGGCTAGTAAGTAAAATATTTTGAAATCTTTATTGTAAAGTAGTGTGTTGTGAACTGTCTTGACTAATCAGACCATAACACCATCCATTGTTGTAGAGATTAGTTGTTGGACTGGTGAGGAAGAGTTAATTTGGACTTGAAAGTTTTATTGCAGATAGCTCTTTTTGTTTAATATTGAATGGTTTTGTTAATTTTGGTTTGTTAGGGACGCGTTGGTGTTAATGGTTTAGAAATGAACTCACCATATGGAACTCCTCAGGCTTCTGGTTATAAATTCCTTGATTCTTCACCTTCACCGTTGACAATGTTTCCTCATACTCCTTTGATGACTTGGGGTGAATTGGATTCTACACCTTTTCGACTAGATGACAATGAAATGACACCTTCAGTTGTGTCCGGTGGTCCAACTTTCCGTATCCCATCTCCTTCACAACGTGAACAACTTGCACATCAACTAGCAGACAAAGCTAGTCGTCAGCGTGTACGTGGTCGTTTAGAAGCAGTAAAACGAATGCAGTCAGCAGCATCGAGGTAAGAATGATTACATTGTGACTCACTGCGTAGACATGTTCATTGTTTAGCATCCTAGATCCCATCATCCATATTTCAACAAATGGACTTAACTCAGGACTTTGAACTAGAAATATCTGTGTTGAATAAAATGAGGCTCATCTTCTAGTACTTCTTAACGCATATATGAGAGAAGTTTATCATTCTTGTTTGACTGTTAAGAAAAATACTGGGTGCACAACCTCATTTAATCTCTCTTATGAATGTATGAAAGATTACAATCTCTAATGTTTTTCATATTCATGCTAAAGTTTTGCCAGCATTCGCACATCCCTGGGCAAGTTGCAGCAGAGTGTAAAAACTTTTTGCCTTCTAAGATGCTAATTAGAATACTTAAGTAATAAGCGGTGCATTTACTTTTGAGATATATGCAGATTTCGTGACACTCCATATAGTTTCAGCAAATAGCGAACATCAAGCAATGGTCTAGAAGTAAAGGTTTGTGCATAAGTTACAATGGTAAGGATTCAATTTCTGATTTGATGCGACTTCACTAGAGAGTAAGAGTTCTTTAACATATTGGATACTGTTGGATATATGCATATAAGCGATTTGACATTTTCCTTTACTTTTTATATCTTCTTAGTTATCGAATAATTGTGCAGTCTTGACTTTAGGTAATCCACTAATGCATGAGGTAGTTTTTTGCGAAAATGTTTCTGTTTTGCATGTCTGTGAATGTTATTTATGTTCAGAAAGTCAAAACAAAATTCTAAACATTTCGCTATGCAAACTAACGTCTCTTTTCCTGATGCGAAGTTTGGAAAAACCTAGTTTAGGTTGTTTAAACGTATTGGGTTTTTTATAGAGGCTTTCCACTATGACCTAATCAAATTTTGTGTTCCAGTTTTCATAGAAAATTGGTTGGGTATCACGCTAAGAGCTAAGGGTATTCGAAGCTAATTTCTAAAGTAATCGAGTTAAATACAGTCTAAAGGAAAGTTGAAGACATTCTATCCCTAACGTATAGCTTGTTTGAATCACTTCATCTTTTAACTTCGGAAGTTGTTTTGAGTTGTTTCTATATTTCCTATGGTTTCCTTATTTCTTTTTACAAAAGGCTGAATGCAGCTGTTAGAGTTCTTGGATAGTGTGGTATTCTAAGTAATATCGAATAATGGCTCACAAGGATCTGTGTGGACTACCTTTGTTTTCATAACATTGCTTGTGTTATAAGGTGACCATACAAGCACTTCTGAAGTTATTTGTAGACTGTGGTGTCGAAGACGTATGCCAGTTGATGAAGCCAAGAACCTTAGTTGAGTGGAGCGCTTGGGGTTTGTATTACACATTTTGGACCACCAATTATGGTGATGCTCTGTTAGCTGTAGTAAGATTTAGTTAGAAAAAGGTAATGATGACCGGACGAGGACGAGGATATGAAGTCTCTGACTTTTTGAGACGATGCAATTGTAAGAACGAACGATGACATTTAACGATTGATTTTCTTGGGTTGAGATAGTTCAACCCGAGTGATTCACAACAGAAATCAGAACACTGGCAATCAACTGAGTATAGTATCACGGACTGAAAACTTTATTAGTAAACCAGCACAGTATATGTAGTAATTATAATGACCTTGAAAGACAAAGGATGACTAGTGCATTAAAAATGCATTAACCAATCAAAACACTGGCGGGTTAAATAAATTGGAATCCACGTGCGGTTAAAAGGGTGTGAACAAATACAGTTTAAAAGTACAACCGGTGATTATGGAATATTACGGATAGAGGCATTCCTAAAACTTGGTTTAAGGTGTCTTGTGGACACCGAGATAACTGAATGTGATGACTAGAGTTTTCGTTGTGTTCGGAATTGATCTCAGCGTTACAGATTTACACACATGTAACCTTAATTTAACTCAACAATGTCATGATTACTTCTCTTGGTTCCCGCTTCTTTTTCGTTGTCTCTTTTTACGAATACTTATCCCATTGGTTTTATTTGCTTTTTAGCCTTTGCTCACTTTTCGGCTTTATTGAACTTCAGATCTGTCCTATCTTCTTAATTCCATCCTTTTGAGTACGCCAGGTTGTTCAAGATATTAAATAATATCTACATGCATAAAAATTTGGGGACAGTATAGTCAAGTGATTTAATAACAAAGTTGTTCGTCTGAGAGGTATAATAAAATTTAATTCAAGGTTTGAGAAAATATGTTTTGGTAAGATTAGACACACAATAGTTCCAAGATACTGTTATTTCTCATTTGACTGAAATGTTAATTTGCGTGCCTTGTTAGGATGTTTTTCAGATTGTAAATTAATTTCGTTCTATTTGTTAAATTTTGCTACAGTCCATCGCGATCCCTATTATCACCTGCTGCTCTCCGTTTACTTACCTCAAGTTCCTCATTTATTAATCATGAAATAAACAGTCGACCTTCAACTGGCACTGGTCGTGTTGGTGGACAAACTAATTCTCCTTTCCCTAAAGTCAATACTCCTAGACGAGTTCCTTCGGATGTGGGTGTTGTTAGGCATCCAAACTCAGCACGTTCAACTCCTCATCGTCAATTTGCAAACGCCAACAATTCTCAAAAGAAAGTCCTTCATGAAAGTGATGATGAGCGGGTTAACAAGTCAGAAACTTCTTCATCAATTACAGACAATTTACTCAACCTAAAATCCTCTCAAAATCTGTAATGCTATGTTATTATTGAACCGAAATGTCGTGTAAATATACTTTCTTTCCATTTAGACATTTTCCACTTTATGTTTACAGTCTAACTACATTTATAATAGCTATCCCTAAATGTGTGGATAAGTAATCCCAACGAATGTTATGAGGTCATGCGTAAGAGTTTTGCTCTAAATGTTACGGAAATTAAAAATCGTATCATTGCGTAAATATCCATTACAAATATATTTATTACAGAATATGTTATTCATGTCCTGCCTCGACATACCATGTTAGCTGAAGCTAAGTTGAGTTGGAAGAATGCTAATGATGGTCAGACTAAGGCATCAGACCAGTCTATGAGGTCTGTGACTTTTGTTCTGACCCATGTGGGCAGGTCTAGACTGCATTATTAGTGTCCTCAAGATGATAGAAATCAGCGGTTGGAGACTTTCGATGACATAACTTGGAATAGGTCACAATAACGCTGATTTATATACATTTCGTCATCTATTTAGTCTTCCAAATCTAATACACTTTTATCTGTTTTAGTGTCACTTTTTCTGTTCATTCCTTCTTCCTGTGCCTCTGGAAAGTATAGCAACTTGAACCAATGGACTTTTGTGCTAGGTCCTCTGTTAATTTATCTGTCTGTCTTTTCAATGTATTCAGTCGACAAGTTGTGCTTGTAAAAAGTTGAAACTTTACATGTTGCTTATTTTGTAGATTGGTTACTTGCATAGTCATCATCATCATTATCAACATAGGACCAGGCATTACTGCGTAACGGTCCGAGTTGCCACACCTCATATCAGCACATCAAGTAAAAAGGTAGTGAGGTGAAGGATGAAGATAAATGAATGCAGTCAAAAGAAATATAAAGTACGAGAAGAAAGGAAAGAGGAGTGACAAAATAGTGAGATTCGGTATAGCGTTGTTAAGATGAGGATAATGTATGTTTACATCTGCGCCACTGACTTCGGTTCTGAGCCATATCACCTAGGGTCTCCAACCACTGGTTCCTCTTGTCCCGTGGACCCCAACCACCTAGTCTGCATCGTCCTACATGGCTTAAACCAACAGTCAGAGACTTCATACATTGGTGCCATGTTTTAGTCTGGCCACCTCGAGCCTTTTTCCAGCCTTAACCCACCTCAGCCAACATTATGTGACGAGGCAATACTTGCATAAATAAGATATTGAGAACTTGTATACTGCTCACAGGAATAACAAGATGTGATGACGGATGTCATGTATAGCGAACAATTGGTTTCATTTTAGTTTGTCAGATTAGAAATATGTTAGAATGGAATTAAGGTCTACCATAGTGTACGGGTTTAACTCCTATATTAATGAAGAGTTTATTAGGTTCTTAATATATAGGTTTTTGATAATCGTTAAGAAAGTAAATAGTAATCTAGAAGGGATAAATCTTTCTTCTTCCTTCTGCTGTACTGTCTCATTTTTTTCTTTGTGGCAAAGTGTATCCTTCAAGAATCTATAGGAATTATGTTGGGTTGATGATGGTCATAAGGTTATGCAATTTTGATTACTGTCATTTAAGAAATCACTCTGTGTATGCTGATTTCGGAGTTCATGATCGTTGAAGTAGAGGTTTTTATTGATTAACACTCTTCATTGCAATGTAGCTTGATGAATACCAACTTCAAATCAATAAAGTTCCCAGAAACCTCTTAATCGAATCATTGTTCACTAGTGACTTTCTTCCAGGTGAGATTTCCCAGATTTGTAATGAGAAGTTGTGACCGGTGTGGCAAACCAAGGAAGACATTGGGTGAAGATTGCGCTGTTTCGTGAACTGACAGAAGTAAGAAAATGTGGACCGTTGGATTCCAACCCAGTAGGTAAGCGGTAACGTGCTTGCCGCGAAACCTTAAGGCCCTGGAATCAATCCCTGATGGCGTCATTGGTGCGCTAACTGACAACTGAAAGAAACCAACGTAGAACCTGGCACATAGGTGTGTCTGCTCAAGTTGCCCCACTTCAAAGTAGTACAAAAAGAAAAGGAGTGATGTCAAAGCAGACGAAGTTGTGCAAGAGACTAAACAATCTGAATACAACGGTTAGTGCGAATATTCAAGCTTTAGAAGAAGATGCTAAGGAGTGAATGCATCTGCACCACTGTGACTGTTTTTCAGACATGTCACCGAGAGTCATCAAACTCTGATTCCTGTCTTGTCGAGGACCCAAGCCAAATAGTCTGTATCTTCCTCCATGGTTCAGACCAGGAGTGAAAGACTTTATGGTTTAGTGTTACGTGTTCGTCTGGCCACCCTAACCCCCCTTCCAACATAGTCCAGCTTTCCCTAGCATAGCACGTTGATGCAGGTGGTGGCTTGGCATAAGGAGTTCACTTCCAAACCATATCAGTCTCTGAAGGTTCTCAACCTCATCGACTGTCTTGCCTAGTTACCCTTCACCTGACTTCAACATTGTTCACATGGTGAGCAATACTACCAAGACTTTCGTGATCAAAACCATGCAAGTACAGTGCTGAGGAGCCCCATACCATGATGAAACAGCTGTCCAATGCTCCTACGTTTATAATGGTTTTCCAAGTGATTGCAGTCCATGATGAATGTCAACCTGTGAAGTCAATTAAATCCCCACAAATTTCCAAGGTGAATCTAGGTTTTTGTTTACCATTCCTTCTGTTTTATCGTTCAACCCTGTATGCTTGGGGCTGTACACAGTTGGTCAATATCCACAAAATAAAAAGATATTCTTGTTTTGTCTAGATAAAATAATTGTTCTTATCCAGTACTGTTTCGATCATTTCTCGATATTTTATAAGGAAATGTTTTGTTTCGGTACAATGTCATATTTATGATACGATTCTATCGTTAATTATCCTCTTAACTTCCCTTTTAGCGATATTTTTTCAAGAAAATTAGTGATGACTATTTCATGTTTTGATGACATTCTCGTTCTGTTTTCAGTTATGTAGTAGTGTATTGGAGCTATTGTAGACCAGTCACTGTCTTTTTTGATCACTATTTTGCAATGAATATTTTATAATTACTTAGTCTATTGGACTAGTCGTAAGTATTGACACGATGAAGTATACACGGAAACTTTAATATGGATTAGTGAGTTTAAATCCCTTTGGATCATCTAACAGTCACCTGGTGGTATCACTAACTCAGTGAAATGGTGTAGTTTGTTGCCTGGTATACATTGTCGTATGCGTGTATGCAGTTATTGTGTTACATCATGTTATCAGTATCATTAATGACCATGTGAAACGCGAAATGTATTCAGCCACCTAGTGCACATCCGTGCAGTTGACGATGAGCCGCTCCTATTGTGTAAGGGCTGGTTATAGTACCTGGCTGCTCAAACCTCAGCGGTTAAAGCTCGGCTTGAATCCGTGACCCCAATGGTTGATAGACATCTTTCTAAACCAGTGAGCCACAGCTTCACACTATACCTCCAATTTAGTAGTGATAATGATGTAAAAATTGAAATCCTTGTATATCATAATTAAAATATCTATATACTTATCAGAAGTGTGAATAATCTAAATTTTTAGACCATACTCATGAGTAAATTGCCTTTCTGAAACCGACCTATTTCTTACTGTTGGTTTTTGAAAGTAACTATGGCTCTCTTAAGTTAGCATAGGTTCATCTTCAGCTACGTACTAGGGTGTCAGCCTAACGACACTCTAAATGTTGTGGTTAAGTGATGCTAAGTTTGTGTTGCTGGCTCGTGAAAACTGAGGATGTTTTGTGCTCTGTGGATTACGGGTCTAGCCTAGTTGCTTACGATGGGGGCCTCCTCTTGGCCGTGCTGGATGTCAACCAATGTACCGTCAAGTTGACTTGAAAAGAAACGGCGGCCGACGAAACCCATATGTACCAGATCAGTTGTGTGTATCTCCAAAGCACGGACGGTTTTGTAGGCCGTCGGGACTCCGCCCATTTCGCTGTGAGAGGTGCGACTGAAAGATAGGGTGAATACAGCTTCCTGATGCCGGTAGTCGCTGATGTTGAAGCGATCTCCAGAGACGAATGTAGTCTTACCTTGGGAAGGTGAGCAGTACTCGGTCCAGAATGTCGATGTCGTTAGCTCACCCTGGCTGCTTATCAGTAGCCCGAAAGGAGCCACCGCTGTTAAAGCGTTGGGATTATGGGTTCACCGGCATTATCTTTTCGGGAAGGTGAGCCTCCCTCAGGTCTCCAAAGTTTGGAAGACTTCAGTCAGTGACGTATCCTACGCATTTTTGATCACAGGGAGGTAAGTACGGTCAACGAACCGATTATCTGGCCAGTATGGATTCGTTGAAGCCTAACAGTTGAGGGTGCTCCGGCATATCACAGATCAGTTTGAGGAGGGTGTTAACACAATGCGCTGGCAGGAGTTGTGTAGATGTTTCTTGGTCGTTGACGGGACCAACCCAACAGGATGGTGTTAGAACTTTCATAGATCTAAAGAGCAGCCTAGAACTTGGAGCTGAGCTGAAGGTTAGAGTGTAGCCCTAGATAGCTTGCCTTTCTGAAACCGATCCATTTCTCACTGTGAACAAATGTATTGGTTTTCGATAAGTAATTGACCACTTGCATGTGAAATTCAGCTTGTTTCAGACATACTGTTGGCCACTACCCTTGAGTTCTGCTTATGTGTATTGTAGTTTGTTGTTACGCTTTCTACGAGCGTTTATTGATTTTTGTTCATCAATTAATCGGCTTTTGAAGTGACAACAAAAAAGTGTGTGTTGAACATTGACAATGGTGCGATCGTTTTGTACCGGAATTTATGCCTAACTAGTCTATAAGGAATGATGACATTTGTATCTTATAGTAAAAGCTGCATTCTCTTATGATATAACTTGAATGAAATCACTAAGTGTCCATTATTGTGACTACACGAACAGTTTCAACACTGCCGAATGCATTTGCACGTACAGGAGGTTATTATTCGAAAATGAATCAGACTTAATTTGGCAGTCTATCGGCAGAGTTCTGGCTTTCATTTACCTGGATTTTTGATGATGCGTATACAAATCGATTCTCCTCCCTTTGTGTTGTAGAACATGGAAGTTGATTATATCTCGTT